AGGTGTGAGTGTGGTTGTTGGTTAACAGAATGCTAATACTGGATACCGACTATTTCTCTCCGGCATCTATGTCGTTAATGTGTATCACTAACTACCATCAATATTTTTTATCTGCGTGGACAAAAATCATTCACCTGGAACGCTCATATTTTGTCTCCATATGAGGTAAAATGGCGACGCATATGTTTCGAGAAGGTAGCTCATCAATTTTGTAACGGTATAAAACATAAGCAATGCTGAGCGAAAGTAAAAAATCGATACAAGTTCCACATTTTTTTTTCTATGTAATTAGCGAAATGTGACTTTTCGACTAGTCAGAGTTGCACATCCATTACACTATAAAACATCGATGTACATGTATCAGACGATCAGAGACCTTCACCAGTCAATCAAACAGCACATTTGACTCGTTATCAAAACAGGTACTATCACAGAATATTTCACATAGTGAATATAAAATGGATATACCACAAGACATAAATCTAACTGAAATATCTAGAAGCCAATCGTCGACAACTAATTTCCTCACTCGTACAATGCTTCCAGACCAAGACTCGACTGCAACATTCACAACATCAAAAAGAGACGAGGACAAACCAACACGGTATGAAACTGAACAACAAATGCCGCTCAAATCAACGACAAATGAGCATTCTCGTTGTGAAAAAGGTTCAGTCAAACAAACATCGATAAATCGACACCCACCACTACCACTAGATATCGCATACGAGAACACCAAAACTTTAATTTCCGATGTCCCAAGCACTGATACAGCAGCAGCCAGTAGCTTTATTGAAGAAGATAAAAACTGTCAATTGTCTAGTTCTACTATAGCACCGACCAATAACACCATATTTGGAGAGAATTTACTGCAAACTTTTGTTCTGATCTGGTTGAACTTGAACATTGACGAAACAGACGATGTTTTTCGTAATTCCATGACATAATTGCGACGTATTGTTAACAGTATCAACACAGTCACTGATCCTACGCGATGTATCAATTTTCTTAGCCGAATTAAAGACGCTAAAGTTCTGATGATTGTATCCGGTGCTCAATGTGAAGATATTGTACCTCAAGTCCATGACATGACCCAGCTCGATTCCATTTACTTATTTTCTAGCAACATGATACCCTATGAACAATCGGCAAATGGTTGGTCGAAAGTGAAGGGAGTGTTCACTGATATCGATTCTCTGTGTAAATCACTCGAACATGCCGTAGATCTATTTGAGAACGATTTTGTTTCCATCAGTATCGTATCAGTGGACTCCGCGTCCAAACAAAATATAGATGAGTTAGATGCATCATTCATGTACACACAGCTATTCAAGGAAATTCTGCTAGAGATTGACTACAACGATCAATCTATTAAAGATTTTGTCGTCTACTGTCGTAAGCTGTACGCTAACGATTCCAAGACATTAGAAACTATTACCATGCTTGAGCTAGAATACTGTTCGGAAAAAGCTATCTGGTGGTACACGTACGAGGGCTTTCTTTATCGTATGCTCAACATGGCTCTGTGCAATCTAGAAATAGACAACTTGATCAAAGTTGGCTTTTTCATTCGTGATCTTCATCGACAGCTCGAAATCGTACACGCGAAACAATTCGGCCATAAACAGATTAAATCGTTTACTGTGTACCGAGGTCAAAGCGTGTGTAATACAGACTTTGAAAAACTTCTTAAAACATCAGATGGGCTTATTTCATTTAACAATTTTTTGTCGATCAGTGAAGATGAAAACATTTCTCTTAACTTTGGGGAAAATGCTCTTACTAGACCTGGATTTGTTGGCATTCTCTTTGAAATGACAATTGACACATCGGTTATATCCTCTCCTGTTGCCCTCCTTGATGAATTCAGCTTTTTCAAAGACTCAGAGAAAGAAATTCTCTTCTCCACACATACGGTTTTTCGAATCAGAGAAATAACACCAATTGTAGCCGGCAATCTGCGATGGCGCATTGTACTCACTTTAACGCACGATAACGACCCGCATCTTAACGCAGTCACCCAATGCATGCGAAATGAGACCGAAGGGTCAACGGGGTGGCATCGACTTGGCATATTATTGGTTAAAGTAGGCGAATACAGTAAGGCCGAAGATGTTTATAAGGTACTGCTTAATCAAACGACACTCGACGAAATTGAGAAAGCGTATCTCAATCATCAACTAGGATGGACGAAATGTAAACAAGGCAATTATGGGAAAGCACTACAATACTATGAAAACGCATGGATGATTCGCGAAAACATACTACCTGCACATCATCCCGCTTTAGTTTTCTCGTACAATCATATTGGTGATGCATTTAAAGGTATGGGCAACTATTCGAAAGCACTGTCTCATTATGAAAAAGCACTTGAAATCTGTGAGAAAACTCATCCTCCAAATAATTCCCAATTGGCTACTTGCAATAACAATATCGGTGATTTGTATAACGATATGACCGAGTACTCGAAAGCACTTTCGTATTATAAAACAGCGCTTGAAATGCGTCAAGAAACTCTTCCTTCTAATCATCCCGATTTGGCCACGTCAAACAATAACATCGGTGATGCGTATAGTAATATGGGCGAGTACTCTCAAGCACTTCCATATTATAAGAAAGTGCTTGACATCAGTCGGAAAACTCTTCCTTCAAATCATCCCGATTTTGCTACTTTCTATAACAATATCGGTTTAGTGTATGACAACATGGGCGAGTACTTGCAAGCCCTTTCATATTATGAAAAAGCTCTTGAAAACTCGAAAGACTCGCTACCAGAGAATCATCCCAACCTGGTTAATTTTTACAACAATATCGGTATGGTGTATTTCAACATGGGCGAGTTCTCGAAAGCACTTCCATACTGCCAAAATGCACTTGAGGTCTGCAAAAAGTCCCTTCCCGACAATCATCCTAGTTTGGCCACTTCCTACAACAATATCGGTATGGTCTATTTGAAAAGGGGCGAGTACTCAGAAGCACTTTCATATTACGAAAAGGACCTTGAAATAAGCAGTAAAAATCTTCCACCTAATCATCTCGATCTAGGTCCTACCTATAACAGCCTTGGTCTGGTACATTTTAACATGGGCCACTACTCGAAAGCACTGTTGTATTATGAGAAAGCGTTTGAAATATGCGAGAAAGTTCTTCCTTCAAATCATCCAATTTTGGCCAAATGCTACAACAATATCGGCAATGTATATAGAAGTACGGGCGGGTACTCAAAAGCGCTTTTATATTTTCAAAAAGCACTTGAAATTCGGGAAAACAATATTCCACGAAATCTTCCAGATTTGGCCGCTTCTTACAACAATATTGGTCTAGTGTATAATCAAATGGGCGAGTATTCGCAGGCACTGCTATACTACGAACAAGCAGTGGAGTGCGCACAAAAATCACTACCTGAAGATCATGCAGATCTTCATATGTATAAAAAGAATGTTGAGGATATAAAACATCGTTAAAGATTTTTTTGTCGGTAAATAAAAATGAACTTCGACTCAATTCCGTTTTTTTTTCTTTTCGAAATATTTTGTTGATCAGCACGTTTGTTGACACATTCAAGTTTTTTCGAACAAAATGCTACTATTATCCATTTCAAAATAGAGTATAGTTGGTTGCATCTTTAATGACACAGAAACAGAAACAGCTAGCAACCTACAGTTTCCACCAGTAGAAAGAATACTCGAAATTCTAAAAATTAGTGTTGATTTTGATGTCTGAACTAACTGTCTAATACTTGGGCAATGATGAAATTTTTATCAGGTTTCGCCATGAAAGTTTTCTTTTCTTTGGGTTTTACATAGAAAATTGTCAACTGTGTATGCTTTACTGCTTAGAAAAAGATCAAACTAGATATCTTCTGCTGTTAATACAACCAAAGATACGCAATTAGGTCTTTTTCAAAAAGTTTGATCTCTACCTGAATGTTAAGCAGCTAATTCAGGCATCAAAAGCAACATCAATATTTAGAGTTTCGATTGTTGCTTTTATTGGTGAATATTGCAAGTTGCTAGCTATGTCTCTTCTTGTGTTATTAAAGATATAACCAAGTGCATTCTATTTTGAAATAGATAACAGTGATACATTTCACTTGTTTCTCCTCACGTCAAATTTTTTTTAGGAGCTGATCATCCTCTTGTTCTCTCGACAGAGAAAACGAACAGTATTTTATGGTCTGTCAGACATTACCAAAAATATACTTTTCTCCTTGAAATATCGGTAATCAAAAGATTAAACTAATCATCTTATGTTGTTGCAAACGAATGACATATTGCGGAAATACTATGATCATTATCTATTCTTAAGCACTCTTTAGTTATGTTTATGTCAACATTCTTAGTACAATACTTTTTGTATCATTTTTTAGTGACTCCTAATCGATAGACTGGTTATACAAATGGAGATGACGCGCGTGCAGAGGAGACGGAAGAGAGTGAGGCCAAGGCAATAGCCCTTGTTCCCCAATTTCGGACGACTTTCATTTTCTCGATTTTTATGACGACAATTATGGGCTACTACCACCCGATATCAGATTGAAACTTCGCGAAATCTGTGCATATAGGAACGAACATGAATCCAACCGAATTGAGACATAGCCAAAGGGATAGCCCTAAGTGCACGGTACTCTGTTGGCTAGATATGCCATCCTTCTGTTAGTATGTCACCGGCGATTTCTAGTGCTTGAGTGCGTGAGCTGAACGGGGTGTGGATGTTGTTCAAAAAGAACACCCACGCCTACCCAACTCATACTCATACATCCACCCACACATCCACACCCTACACAAAGCTACACTCTCTAGATAAATTAAGCCTGGATGAAGTCATGATCGCGATGTGCTCGACTCATCAACATAAGATCGTTATAGTATTATTAATATATTTCAAATGAAAATAAAATTCTTCAGAACAATACAGAAATAGTAGGAGAAGAAATATATGCTTCGTCTTTTGTCGAAAACTATTCTACTGTCCAAAATGATGATTGCATTTACATAAAACTATGCATTTGAATCGATATTAAATTTTTGTACTCTATAATTACACTTATCGACTACATAAAGATTGCCATGTCGATCGAATGATAAACCCCAGGGACAATTGAATTGATTGGACTGTTCTCCTTTATCATTTCCACCAAGAATAACATCTCCTTGTGTGGCTCCTTTTGGCCAACGCATAATACGATTATTTCCTTGGTCAACCACATAGACAGTGCCCAATTGATCGACAACGATTCCGTAAGGAAATGACAATTGTGTAAGACCATTCCCTTGGCCTTGACCACCAGCTACGACAATGCCTTGTTCTGCGTCTTCTTCCCATTTCATTATACGATGATTTCCATGATCAGACACGTATACAGAATGATCTCTATCAACAAATACGTACCAAGGGTCAGAAAGTTGATCAAGACGATTTCCTTGTCCATTGCCACCTGCAACTATTGTTCCTTTACTATCACCAATTCCATATCGTCTTACTTCATGTTTTCCATAGTCAACAGCGTAGAGAGATCCATTCTCATCTATTGTCAAACCAATACAACATATATTTGACATGATTTTTTCTCCACTAGTACTATTTCGACGAGGCCATCGAATTATTCTTTTATTGGAATAATCAGAGATAATGAGACTATCTGTCTTTTTATCGACAATTACATCGTATGGATTGTTTAACTGATGAGCTCCCTTGCCCGAACCATTTCCGCCAGCAACCACTCGACCACTTGTCGCACCATATTTCCATTCCATAATGCGGTGATTTTCTTGATCAGCGATATAAATATTTTGACTATCATCGACAAACAAACCACGTGGATTAGAGAGCTGATTAACTCCATTGCCTTGTCCATTACCTCCAGCCACAGTAAGGCCATTTTGTATCCATTTTGCATTCGAATAAATATTAGTAGAACTTGAACGTAACGGTGCTGAAATGGACACAAAAATATGAAGTAGAAATGAGTCTGTCATTTGTTTTGAAAAGCAGTTAGTAGAATGACTCTTTCCTTCCTTGGCACAATAAAGAATTATTTGAAAATTTTTTTTCAATTGCAAACAAATTTAATGTTGATCATCTGTATAGTTTTTATTTTCTCCTAGACCAATCACTTTTTTTTTACAAAAAAGAATGTTTCGACATTGATGGTAATGTCTCTTTTGTTTTTTTCATCTAGAGAACAAAAGTCGATAATATAAGAAATGCAGAATTTATGATCGATTTTGAACTGGAATAACAATAGCCGTTTTGTTCAAATCAATAATGGAAGTATGTTCAACACAAAACTATTCAAAAACTTAATTGTTTCAATCTTTTTATCTAGAATTAAAATTGTTCTCGCCAAATGAAATCATTTCGATAATTGATTAAGATATATTGATTTTTTTTCTGTATCAGAGTTCGTCATGCGACACTTTTTTTCACCCCGCAGTATCCTCACGGCATATAAGCTGACAAGAGAACATTCTTCTGTGTTTGATCGCTTTTTACTTAATACTATGTACATCACACTCACCACCATGAGTTATGTATCTACTGAAAGAAGTTCGTACTACTAGCTTTGCGATGCGAAGGTATTGAACTTTTATTTAATATTTTATCAAAACTCTGTGGTCGCTCTCGAGTCACTAAAAATTGGAATTATCAATTTCGACTTGAAACTTTGTGCAAATAAAGATCTCATTACGAATAGTTTATAATGAAAATTTCAATTATTTTGGTTGCTTCTCTCATGAAATATAAATATTCAAAGATTGACCTATGTATATGACCAATGCATCATATCTCAGGATAGAAGCAACAAATAAGATTCAAACTTTCGTCATAAACTACTCTAATTGAGATCTTCATTTATGCAAAATTTCGATTTTTGAGTGACCTCAAGGAGACTATAAAGTTTTGATAAAACACACAATAAAAATTCTATATCTCGATATCGCAAAGCTACGAGTATGAACGTTTTTCAGCATATGCATAACTCATTATGTTGAACGTAATGCATATTGTCTCGACTTAGAAACGATCAGACACCTGAGAATGTTTCCTCCACATGGAGTTCACTACGAAATGGGTTGTTAACCTAATGAAAAATGTTGTTCTTATTCATATTCTCAACGTTCATACCTTTTTTTGGTATAATTTCAAATTTTAATTATTAAAAATTGGCAAATATTTTAAATCGATCAAAAAGAAATTGAAAGAAAACACTGGACAATAAAGACGATTAATCTTGTAGACTAAGAATCAGATTATAATCTAATAAAAATAGTATCATTTTGATTTATTCTTGATGAAATAATATTGTTTTTAATTCAATATCTTACCTTGTAGTATATTAATATAAAAACAAAAAAATTGTCTATAAAAAACAGGGATTCTTTATGAGTAAATATCATCACATTTAAATGATTCAAAGTTTGTCATCACTCTTTAGCAATTATTCTTATAATATATTGAAAACTTTAGCTAGCACTAATGTTGTTGTATTGAGATATTGGATTTTCAAAATTAGTCAACTGTTACATGGAAATATAACAAATTCAATTTCTAAATTCAACACCTGGAATATCAGAACATACGTTCTGATTTAAACTTTCAAAATCTTTTAAAATTTATTTTACCTATTTATGGGCAAAATATTCTTGTTTTTTCAGAATTGTTTTGTTCAAGATGTAAATTAAAAAACTCGATCGGTGTCGAAATTTATGCTAACGTGAGTTTAAATCTGATCGAGTTAAAAGTTTGAATATACTTCGTTTTCAATTAAATTGAGTTACGGGTTAAATTTAATCAAAATAAAAAGCTAGTTATTGCAGTTTCTTTGAGACTGAAATGTCGAACTCACATGTCTTCTTTAGCTTTATTATAGAAATACAAAATAGTCACAATGAAAATTTTCTAAACGACGATAGTTTGTTTCCAACGATAAACGATTGTCAACAAATACTCTGCTTTTTATATTTCTACATTTTGAACAAAAGTTTTCTTTGTTTTTCGGTTAGAAAAAAATAAGAAGTAGAATCAAATCTCATATTCATTGGAAGACTTTCAAAAAAGAAACTAATCAATTTTCGTTCTTCTGACATATCAGAAAACATAAATTTCAAACTACCTTGCTGCCATTTATCAATCGATACTTGTTGAAGAATATTAGCAATAGATTCTTGCAAATGGTCGATTCCTTCGATACGATATTCAGTTTTAATAGGAAGTTTCAGTTTGTTTAATTCTTGTGTAGACATTTTTAAGTAGTCGATTGTTTTTCGATGATCTTGTAACAACTTCGAATAATCGTTGCCCGAGATGCTACGTTCAAAGTCTCTGTTATGCATACTTAATTCTTCTTGTTGGTTCTTCAGTTGAGTATGAAAGTTTTCAATTAGATCATTATTTTGTTTTTCAATAGCATGAATCTTTTGTTTTAGATGATTCTCACAGTTATTGATCAGCGAACGTATGAAATCAAAAGCTTTTGTAATCTCTTCTATAGTAGCATTTTCATTCGAAGTCTTTATTTCCACCGCTTGTTTCATAGATTGATCTAAAGAGAAGTTTGTTTTTGTAAACCAATCTTTTATCTAAATGATAGATAAAATGGAATTCATGAAAATAGAATTCAATCCTGACCTCTTTTGCTTTATCTTGCACTATATCAGTTATTAAATTGCGTGCATGACTGGCATGCTGAAGTACAATACAGTCACGACAAATGAGTTCCGTACAAGTTTGACACCAAAATTTAAGTTTCTCATCAGGATGTTGATTACATGGAACAAATACTGCTGGCTTCTGATGGATTGATACTGATGCATGCATTTTTAAAATAGGCTGAGTATGAACCAGTTTGTAACATGCTGAACAATAACTAGTTTCACACTTGTTACACCAAAGATCAGCTTCTGCTGATTGACAATTGGAACATATTATTTCAGCTACAACAAAAATAATTGACGATACTGCGTTATATATAAAGATTCGTCTGTAAAGACAAGGGAACAAAGCGTAATAATTTGTTCAGATCAATAATCTGGGTAACAAATTACCGAGGTCTAATAGGATATTTAGGTGAATGAAGGATTAATTAAGTAGAAGTATGTCACAAAGAACAACACAGACATTCTTTTATATGTCGATTGATATTGTTCAATAGTTGATGGTAGAATTGCAACTGTTTCATTGATGATTGGATTGACTGATAATGAATCAATTTGAATGTGATAACCATCGGAAAAAATCTTCATATGTAGGTTTTGTTTTCTATTAAGTTATTTATCTTACCGTGTCTTTTTCTCTTCGATCTATTGAGATGCAAGCGAAAGCTCCTCAGAAAATCTACATAGTTGTCTTGAGTCTTACATTCTTTAAAATGAAACAGATGGAAGGAAGACCTTTTACATGAATGTGACTGAGAAGCTTCCAAAAATTTTCGTGAATTCTTCACATAGTGTGCTATACCATATATCACAATATTGCATATATTCGAAAATCAGAAAGGATCAAAGTTGATTCTATAATTCCAGATTCGAATCATCTGCCATCAATAGTTGATCATACAATAACGAAGAGCGTGTGTCAGAGATGTACACTGCGCAGTGGAAGAACTTTTGAAAGCGTGGCAGATGCGGCCGCTCCGCACTTTTCTTTACTCCAATATTGATAAATCATGGCATTATTCGGATTATATGAAAGAGGGCCCCAAATAATCCCTATCAACCCGAACAACGTTATGTTTTGGCCTTACAATCGAAGAGAAAATTTGTCTATAGATTTGATTGATCGACAGCTTCTGTCTATCAGTCAATCAAATATCAGGAAGGTTGTTCTCTTCTACTGTAAGGACAAAACATAATATTTCTTGGGCCAAATGGTGGGTTCTTGGGATTCTTCTTTATATTATATAACTCTAAACAACTGCTTCCTTTGTACTTAGAGCAGTGAAGAAAACAAGAGGAAAAGGCTGATTGCCAGATCAGAGAGCAAGGTAATATAATGATTTGGAGTAAATTATGATAGCGTCAAACTGCTATTTATTGTTACTTACATGATGATTGTGATTCAGCATAGTATGTTGCCATGAGGATTAGTTAATAAAGAACACGAATACTGTGTAATCTAGAATTAGAAGACATAAGATAATCATTTTAGCCGTATGCAGATCAGACTCATAGTCTAACTTGTATGTTCTTCCTGTTTGAGAGCATTTTCTTAACAAAGTCCTCAAGACCTGACCTCCATTTGGCACAAAGTCAGCTATGGACTCTGCTGAAACGCTTCTTCCGAGCCTCCATTGACGTTTTCCCGTAAGTCGCAATTCAAAAAGCAGATTCTATTAGATAACTCTACCATCTACCATAGTTTAGAATCCTATGACTCTTATTTAAAGTAAAAGTTACATGCTCCGGTCGCTTCATTTCTTTTGTTATTCGATGTGTTTTGTTGTCCACTACCATGTATCTTACCATGAAGGTTTACTTGATTCGTTTCTCCTCTCTGGGTTTCATCATATTTGGAGCTTTTCGCATGCAATACTTTGTGGAAGCAGCAGCCTAATTCGACTTTAAATATAAATGAAGATTCAAAAACATACATAGCACTACTTCCAGCAGAAGATTTAGTTTTTGCTTCCCACAACTACAGTTCCTATCGATATATCTCTGTATATATACATATACTGTCCAGTAAGAATAGAAATAGTTTTAGTTTTATTTTGGTCTAGTTATAATTTATATAAATAAAAGATATTATAACTGGACTAAACTGCAATTAAAAGTATGTCTATTCTTACAGGATACTGTATATCTATATTTATATTTATACGAATTACAAATGTAGATAATTAATACTAAACTTGTTTCTTTTCTTACTCGACTATTAATATATACATACCCTAGTGAAGGTACTCATAGGCGAGTACTCAAAAAGTACTCACGCTAGAAAATGTCACGAGTACTCATAGGTTTTGAGTACTCAACAG